AGGCCGGCGGGTGAGGGGTCCCAGCTGACCGTCGCCCCCGCAGAGGAGTTCTTGAAGTAGGGGGAGAACTCCTTCATGTACTTCACTGGAAGAGAGGCAGCACCCGGTTGAGGGCACGGCATTGGCCATGGTGGCCTCATCCTGCCCACCAGCGCCCATCCGCCCCCCCGAAACCCCTCGCCCCCTCCCTGCATTGCAGCCGGTGCCTCCTCCATTACCTCCCCAGAGCTGTCACCCATGGGTGCTGCAGTGGGTCCTCTGCCCAGCACCCCGGTGGGTGTGGGGAGGGGATGGCACTGGTGGGCAAGGTCGTACCAGAGGGTGACATGACACCTAGGATCCTCCCAGTGCCTCTGCCCCACTATCCCAGCCTAGGAATCCCTCCGGGAGGGATAAAAATGGCCTTTTCCCCCTTTTTGCCTTCCTTTAACCCAGATCAGTTCCCAGATCCAAGCCTCATGGCGTCCCCGGGGCGGCACAGGGAGGCAGGGGGCGGGGAATGGGCAGGAGTCCCAAGCCAAAATTACACAGTCCAAACTGTGCTGGTACAGCCGGTCCCTCGTGTGTGTGTGTGTCCCCCTCGCCAACTGGGAACAACAACTCTCAAATACCATGGCTTGGCCCCAGGAAAAGCCTCGCACCGCCTGCTGGCACAGCCCTGCCCCGGGAGTTACAAACCAGCGACGAGAAAGCCGCTTTCAGTCCTCAGCGAGCCCAGCTCCAGAGCCAGCGCCCTCCGAGACGGCTCCCGAGGTTTAGGGGAGATGAAAGCCACCGCAAATTGATGAGGACCCATAGCTACATCCCATAAATTAGGTCGGCAGCACCAGCCAAAAAACTTGGGCTGAGCAGGGGAGGTGCCTCACGCGCTGCAGCCCCCGTGGGACCAGTCGTGGTCCTGCCCTGGGGGCAACGTGGGATGGGCTGGTGGCTCCGGGGAAGGACTTCCCTTTGGTGGCCCTTGGGGACAACACCACGGGACAGACACGTGCCTGCCACCACGTCCCCAGCCGTCACCGCTGGTTTTGCTCCAGGTCCAAGTCAGTGGCGTGGGTGGCAGGAGGGGGGGACACGAGGTTGGCTCTGCAGCCAAGCTGGCTGGCTGGTGGACCAGCTCCATCGCTGCAGCAAAGCCACATCAGCCTGATTTCATGCCGGAAAAAAAGCCTTTTTCCCACCAGGAGAGAGTCTGCACTCAGAGCCTACCATCCCCATCCCTCCTCTGCCCACCACCACCCATCTTCCCTTTCGTTCCCATCCCAGCGAGCTCCCCAAAACCTCCGAATCCCAAAATCCCGCACACGAGCGGCGCTGGGGCACGACGGGGAGGCAGAGCCCCCCCATGGTGCCCCGTTCTGCCCGGGCCCAGCGGGACGCAGCTATAAATGGCCGCGATGCCGCTGCGGCACGTGGGTTGTGTTACCCCGCGGTGGCCCCGGGGCCAAGGAGGCGGCGTGGGGCCCCCAGCCTCGTTCCCTGCGCCTCCCGTTATAAATAGCCGCCGCGTTCCCGCAGGCATTTGAGCCGCGTTGGATTTTACCCCAAGTCATTAATCTTGGCAGCGGGGCCGGGCCATTATCCCGGTGCCGGGGAACTAATTGGAGTTCAGAAAGATAGCATTCAGCCGCTGAAACCCGAGCGGCGTCCCCGCGCCAGCCCGTGGCTGCCCGGGCACGCGGAGGACGTCACCGGCATTAGCTGGGCGGTGGTGGGGTCACGTCCCGACGGACATCTCCTCCCTGGAGGAGAGGAGCAGTGCCAAGGCCGGGACGGGGCACGGAGAACTAGGCAATGGCCAGCGCGAGTCTCTGCGGCACACGGCTTTAAGGAAGATTTAAGGCTGGTGAGGAAGCGCCAAAGGGTTCCCGCAGTATGGGGGGGTCCGGGGTGTGTTGGAGGCTGCGGTGCTCCCCACGGGGCTGGGCCACCATCCCATGGGAGTTGCCATCTCCTCCAGTGACCCCAGCACGGGCTCCATAGCCGGTGGACTTACACTTCTGCCGGTCCCTTCGCTGCCCCGGAATCACCCGTTATTGAACGCACTTAATTAATTACCTCCACCTCATTAAAGCGAACAACTCAGACCACATTATGCATCATCTCTGCTACTGGTAATTGTGATTCTTGAAATTTTTTTTTATTTTTTTTTTTTTAATTAACATCTTGCGGTGCTGGGGCTCCCAGGCTGGCCGCCCTCTCCTTGTTAGCCAGCACCCTCCAAAAATCACTCGGCAGAAACACCGCCTCGCTGCCGTTGACTGAAAGCCACCTTCAGCAGGCAAACAGCCCTCTCGGAGGCTACTGGGCAAATCCAGGTGGCCCCTGAAGCCACGTGGGCTCTCTGCTCCCTTGGGGAGACGGCCTGTCCCACTGACCCTCTCCAGGACAGAGGAGAGGTGACAAATAGAACCTTGACCTGCTCAGGGCTTTGCACTGACTAACGCTTTAATTTAGGTTTTGGAGGAACAGCAAAAGCCTCCAGGGAGGCCACGTGCGAGCAGCTGCTTGTGGCCACCCGTGCCTGGACGGTCCCTCCGCAGAGGGGTTACGGCACAGGAGCTCCCAAACCCGCAGCATCGCCGGAGCATCGCGTGCTCCCCGAACCCTGCAGCGAGCTGCATTGGGGACACGTTCAATCAAAAGCCCGAGGTCTGCCCTGCTCTTCTCTCTGTGCTGCAGGGGGGGGTTGTCTCCTCAGCACTCCAGAAAGGGGTAAAACCATCAGAATTCCTTGGGTTTACTTCTTGGGTAACAGATCCTCCCCCTCCAGTAGCCCATCCCTCCTAAGAACGGAGAACAAGCCCAAACCAAACACTCCTGCAACCCCGATCCCGAGTCACCACGACCTGCCCCACGCACATGCCCGGGGCTCAGCACCACCCGAAGCCAAGCTCCAGACCCCAGAGAGCTTCGCTGAGGAGCCACAAACCTTCCTCCAGCCAGAAAAACAGCCCCAGCCACACGGACACCCAGCAGCAGGCTCGAGAGCCACCCACCCACTGCTCGGGCCACCAGCTCGGTGTTGGCACACTCTGCTTCAGCCCGGAGATCATGGCATGGAGTCACCACAGAGAGGTTTAAGATGGCACTGCCAGGCAGGGGTAGGATGGGTCCTGCTGTTTCCCACCCCCGAGAGCTCTCCAGCAGCATCCGCACAGCACCGCGAGTCAAAAAGGTCCGACCATCCAGGTGGTCATCACATCAGGGAGGCTTCCAGAGAGGTCCTGGAGATCCAGCGCTGGCCCTAAGGAGATGCTAAGCCCATCTCCAGCTGGTCCCTCTCTGCCTCAGGACTAACAATGCAAATCTAACGTGTGAAATGAGGGGGCTCACCAAACACACGTCCCAAAGAGACACCCTGAAATGACCTGTAAACTTAGAGCTGATGCTGCGACCTGCTTCCAAAAGACCCGACACAGGGGCTGCCACAATCGCCCCATCCCGCATCCCACCCAGGGACCGTCCCCGAGCACCAACAAGGCAGCAGCTGCTGGTCCCAACTGCCCCAACTCAAACCCTTCTACCCCAGGGAGGAGGACGCCATGGGATGCTGCAGGGCGGGGGTGCCCCCGCTGTCCCTCCTGCCCCAGGACCCCATCCCAGCTCTCAGTGCTACATGCCATGTCCCAGCTCTTCCCTAAATATTCCCCTGTGCTGCACGGCCAGTGGTGACCCATGGGCTGAGCAATCCCAAGGAGATCACAGGACAACCCTCCACGTTTCCACGGGAGGAGAAACGTCCCTGGGAAACTCCCCAGGGAAAGCAAAGCAGCGAGGTGCGTAGCAGGTAGGAGGACGTGGACCTTCACCATCTCTCCGAGTTGTCCCCAGGGCAGGTCCAAAGACTCCTTCTGCTTTGGTTCATTACCACCTTTAAACCATGAGGGCGCACACAGCGTTACCAAGGGCAAAGCCCAGCTGCTCCGACCCCGAGGATGGCCAGGTCTGCCAGAAGACATTCACTTTAGTGTCCCACAGAGGGCTGGAGGCCACCTCAGGGCTTTCTCTCCTGAAGCCCTTCTGAGCTCCGAAGGGTGGCAACGACAGGGAACCACACCGATCCCAGCCGCCGCCACCCACCCCTGCTCCAAAAACCCCCTTACATTTGCGCCACGTGTTATTTACCCCCAGGGTCACCTAAACTGTGTGGGTATTTCACATTTCGCACCATGCACATCTCTACCCGCTATGACTGCCCGGGCTTCCCACGGTTAGGGCAATGGGCCCGCCAGAGCAGGGCATCCCCGGCACCGTGCTCTACCGACCCCCTTTAGCCTTTCCAAATTTCAAACTTCCAAGATATTACTTGACCGAGCGAGTCCTGGAAAGCTGCGACAGCCCCAGGAGCTGCCCCGCAGCCGGAGAGCCCCCGGGATGCCACCGAGGTGAGATGCCCACGACATCCTCCTCCCCACTGCTCCTGGTTCTCCCAGTGCCCGTACAGCAAAGGAGAAGCACCAGGAAAACCACCTCCTGGCACCAAAGCCCTTCCCAGGGCAGCTGGAAGGATGTTTATCAGCCCGTGGAGGGTCTCTGGATACCAAGCAACACAAAAAAATCCAAAAAAAAAACCCCAAAAAAACACTGAGGGAAAAATAAGGTAAGGGAAAGCAACTCTCCCCAAAATAACAACGTAATATAAATACAGTCAAACTCCTCCTGCAAATATCAAGAGAGTAGTTTGGCACGTCCAAAGAAAAAAAATCTTGGCAGAAAACACCGGGAGGTATCTGTGTGTCCTCCTGCCTGGCCAGCAACGACACCCCGGAGCCAGAAGCCAAGCTGAGCGGCGCGGGGCGAGACCTGGCACACGGAGCTCCTGCGATATTCAAATTAAAGTGCAATCATCTCCCACCTCTGCCATTCTGGAGAGTCTCACCCCAGCACATCCCCCCGTGAGGAGGCACAAGCTCGCCCAGTTTATGTTACCTGCTGCGACGCCGCATGCAAATCACCCCAAAATCACCTAAAACCGGGAATGGACGCAGCCTGGAGAACCATGGGGGTGGCGGGTATAAGGCAGGGGACACCCTGTCCCGAGGGAGGGCTGTCACCTCCGCAGGGCAGCGACAGCCCCATGGGGACCACACCACGGTGCCGTCCCCGCCATCCTCCACGGGCAAACCCAAAACAAGGAGGAGATGGAGACGCACCGTGTGTGTACCCGATGTCTGCCATCAGATGAGCAGCAGAGACCCCTGCCCCGCTCCGGCTGTTGCCTACAGCATCCCGAGCACCATCACGCCGCGGGAGCCCAACGGCATCAGCTGCAGACTAATCGCAAAGCCTCCAGCGTGTCGTGGTGGGAGCCAGCCAGCCCTGCTCTCCTGACGGTACCTGCTGGGAGTTTTAATTAATTAAGAAGCCCAGCGGGTCATACCTGAGCTGGGAGGGCAACCTGGCAGCGCCCGGCTCCCCAGGGGGATGGAAGAGGAGGAGGAAGAGGAGGACGAAGAGGAGGAGGAGGAGGTCCAGGAAGAGAAGTTGTTCTCTACAGCAAGGGCAGCTCATCTCCACCTCCCGCAGGACCTCAAGCAGAAAGGAAACCCACGCCAAAGTAAAGGATGAAAAGAAAATAACAGAGAGAGGGTGGTCTGAGAACGGCGGCTACGGGGAGGAATTTCGCAGACTCCCAGAGAAAAGAGGCTCTTGTACTTCTCTTTGGTCAAAAAAAAAAAAAAAAAAAAAAAGACAAAAACAAAAAACAAAACCAAGCCCACCAACAACCCTATCTGCTCCCCGCAGCTGTGCAGAGCAGCACATTCCTCCGGCCGAATCGTGGTCCTGCAGCTCCCAGGAGAGGAGGAACCCACAGCAGAAAGGGCTGAGCGAAGCTAAAAATGCGAATCTGGAGCCGAGACAATCTGGGGAAGGCGCAGGAAAGCAAGAACCACAGCGGTCACTGGCAGCAGAAGGCACAGAGCTCTTCTTTGTCCAAGCAGAGCCCGGAGCGCTCCCCCCAAATAAAAAAAAACCCTCCCTTTTTGGGGTCTGCAGCCCCACAACTGCACCGGGAAGGGTCTCCAGTGCCAAGACCCTCCTGGTTAGCTGGGGCGGCCCAGGGGCTGGGTGGTGGGGAGGGAAGGGGAAGGGTCCCCTCCTGGGGGACAGATCCTGGGTGCTCACCCCTGCCCGGCCGAGCTGGCAGAGGGCGGGCAAGCGCAGACAGACGGGATGTGAAGGGTAAGGGGAGAAAAGCGGGGTCCCTGCCTCAGGGCTCCCACAGTCCCGACCCACCAGCCCTCACCCACTCCCCACGAGGGAAACTGGGGGGGTCCTGCAGTGTGCCAGCCCCCACAGGGCTGGCAGACACCAGCGAGTCGCCACCCAGTAGCAAGAGGGAGCCCGTTCCCAGGGGACCAGCTCCCGTCTCCCCTGGGACAGCAAAGGCTGTGATCCCCAGGATGTTTGTAGCCTCGGCTGCCAGATTTTGGGGTGGGGGGGTCTGCGGTTGGGGTACAGCCACCGGGAACCCCACGGGGAGGCAGCTCCTGCAGCTGCGCCCCTGAGCTGGCCCTGCCTGCGCCCTGCCTGCTCCTCCCGCCTGCCCAAAATCCACCCAAAAGGTGCCCAGCAAGTAGCGGGGTGCTGGCATATCCCCTCCCCCACTGGTGTTAAGCCCGCAGAGCCGCGCAGCCCCGCTCCCGCTGAGGATGCAGGTTTAAATGAAAACCATAGGAAAAGCAGAAAAAAGGTTTCCACAGCCTCAGGGTGACGCCACAGGACAGACGAATCGCAAACCCCATAAATCCGTCCGTCCCCACACCTCCCATCGCTGCCTGCCCGTTTTCCCACAGCGGGGAGACGGAGCCGCTGGGCACCGAGCGGTGGCACACGTGTCTCTGCCTCTCTGGAGGGAGATCCCAGCAGTTACCTCCAGCTCTCCGGTTGCAGATGAACCAGTCAGCACATACTGGTTTCCATTTGAAAGAGTATGCAAACAGACATGCAGATGATGCACCATCCCCATGCTCCCAGTACATTGCTGGGAAACACAGGGATCAGCCCCCAGAAGCAGGACCCTCATTCTCCCTCGCACCCTCATCTCCTACCTTCCAAGACCACCTCCTTGCCCGTCTTCTTCAACGCCTGCACGGCCTCATCATGCGTCGCCTCGGACAGGTCGGTCCCGTTGACGGAGAGGATGGCGTCCCCCACGTACAGCGCCTCGGTCTGATCCGCTGCCAGCCCCTTAAATATCTTGGAGATCAAGATGGGCATTTTATTCTCTCGGCCACCTTGAAACAGAAAAGAAACGAAGCAGTTGTGGCTGTCGGAACACACGGAGGAGCGGGTGGGGAGGGGGATGCTCAGGTACCCGCCGGCCCCAGTGAGGCTGAGCCCTTTTCCCAGCGCTTGGCCACGACGTCCCAGGAGAGTCCACTGCCCCATCTCCTCGGATGCCCATGGCACACTCATAACAACCACAGAAGCCAAAATATACCACGAGGCTTTAGAGCAAAGATGACCTGTTGGAGCGGGGCCAGAGGAGGCCCCGGAGATGCTGGGAGGGCTGGAGCACCTCTGCTGGGAGGACAGGCTGGGAGAGGTGGGGGGGTTCAGCCTGGAGAAGAGAAGGCGAAAAAGGGGAGACCTCGGAGCCCCTTCCAGTGCCTAAAGGGGCTCCAGGAGAGCTGGGGGGGGACTTGTTACAAGGGCATGGAGTGGTAGGA